TTAAACACTTAAATCTTCACGCGAAAATCCCTATTCCGAATACCAAACAACAAAGTAAGCACCTACTGACCCCTTACGCACGCTATGCGAGTTTAAACAACCAGGACATATCCCAACCAACGCCCTAAGCTTCCCGCTCTATCCCATTATTGTCTCTCGGTGGCAATCATTAACGTCAAATTTGTATCTCATTTAAAGTTTTTGAGAACTTGAAGCCACAACGGTTTAGTTTCCTTTCTCTCTGTGAATTTAAAAACTTACCTGCGAATTCTCAGCCTGGACATTTTTAACACGCGAGACAAGCTTAGTAATATTTCAAAGCTATTTGAACAGGCGCAAAGTCATTTTTCAAGTTACCTTTTTTACAAGTAGCGGCGTAATGACTGAAAGTCCCTATCGGCTACTAGACATTCGGTTTAGTTTATAAGAACCGCTTAATTTTAGTGGCCATGTATGAACACAAAATACTAACTAAGAACATTGTTCTATGGTCCGTGACTGGAGACGGGATCCGCTATTTCTACAAGCCACGCGAAATCTTAGGCCTTTGTAGCGCAACAGCAGTGATCTTCTTCCTACTTGGCAGGCCCGGGAAATCGAGACCGCGATCACCCGCTCAGCAGACCAGCGCTATTGCAACTGAGTTAACTAATCCTTCACGGTCAGCATTCGCTACACTTTCGCACTTTTTGGGAGTGGAATCTCACCTCAGTGCCGTTGACGCTGTTTTGAATAACTGCTAGTATTGTTTTCTACCTATAAATTATTTATCGTCACTAGTCTAGGCAATTGAATACCAAGGACAAGAACGAAGGCCTTTCTGTCTTTATCAGTAACATAAAGGACTTTACCTGAAACATGAAAAAGAAGAGGGCTTTTTTATGCTCACTCCAAAGCCGCTCCAAATCCTGGGCATATGGGAATTTACAACATCCCATGTGTACGCCAATCTCAAGACAGTTGGTATTGTCGTACATATAATCCTTCATACCACCGACGTTACTCTGCCAAGCTGCACCGTTTGTGATCCCTTTGGGAAACTCCTCCCGCACAGAAAGGCCTGGGCATAGTGGTTTCCCATAATGCATTGATGGATGCAAGTTGGCATATGAAGATGCTAAATAACGGAAGACATCTTCGTCAGGGGTGGGGTTAGGAATTAGGCGGCCTTGAGAATGTGAATCATAGGGGTAGTGAGCGACCAGTGAGCCTCCATGCAAACTGGCTGATAACACAAATGGATGTTGTTTGATCCACTTCATGACTGCAGCTGTTTCGGCTTCAAGTGTCTTACTTGAAGGGTCGTTAACGTCTATAAGAAAGAAGATTAACTTTTCCTGAGTATGTGCATTATAGTTAAGGAAGAAAATGATTAATTTAGCCTGTAGTACAGGGATGGTCGGGATTTTTTTGTTTCAAGCTTGGTGACCACACACATATTGGACGCTACACGTGGACTGAGTTTGTTCTTGGTTCTCTCCTTTACTCCGAGAGGTTTTTCTTCGGGGACTCTAGTTTTTCCGTCTCCTCAAAAACTAGCCTGTACACAGACCTTGTTTTCTTTTCTTTTCGAAAACCCACCCTCTTGCGCTTGAAGTCAATAAATCTCCCGCGGTTTTTATTTTCATACGCGCGCTCTAAAGAGAAAATAGAAGCTCGGTGAACAGGCTACACAAAAACCAACACTTCCAAATTCCAATTCGATCACGAATGCACGGACACGTTTTAATAAACGAGTTCTTATGAACTACTAAGTGCTTCATGGGTAAACAAATTCCATTTGTTTTGGAGTCTCCTCTCTAAAAGTGTCATAGATACAGCAGGAGTCCCCTGTCCACCCATGGTTAGTCACTATGGTCCACTTTTCAATTGCCCCTGAGAATGAATGCAGGTGTACATCACATGGAGCGTTTCTAATGGCAACAAAAAAGCTCCTGCACTAAATTTAATGAGCTGCCCCCAGTTGTTCAAAGCTCGCAAGACGGATACGTTACCCAATGGATAAATTTCTATCCACTGGATAGCGCATTTGGTATCCCTAATACTTATCCGTTGGATAGTGATTTGTCTGGCCCCAGTTGTTCAAAAGGTTGATAGTGCTATCCATCGGATAAATCTCTATCCACTGGATAGCGCAATTCGTTTTCCTAATACTTATCCACTGGATAATGATTTATCTTGTGGAAAGCGCTATCCATCTTTTGAACAACCGGGACCTGGTGGATAGCGCTATCTAACGTTTTAACAACAGGAGCCTGTGCATGTTGTGGTTTCATATCAGATTTCCTTTGCTTTTGTGTGTGGTAATGTATACCTATAAAACCAATGAACAGTGAAATTTCAACAACAAATGGGCCTAAACATACCTGGAAAATTTGTGTACAAATCCACGTCCCTTGCATTATTCCTTCCTTTATCAGTGAAACAGTTTCCTTTAATGGCCACCTCAGATCCATCTGAGTTGAGGGAAGGGAGAATATGAATGCGAGTACTGTTCACTAGGCGTGTAACCAAGTCATCTTTACCATAACTCAAACACAGATGTTGAATCATAAGCAGCAGCATTTCCTTCCCCACTGCCTCATTGCCGTGAACCCCGCCCACATACCTGAACTCTGGTTCACCTTGTTCGTGCAGTCCTGGATTATCAGAAATCTCCATAACCCAAATGTTACGATACTGAACAGTTTGACCAATGCTGTACAGCCTGGTAATGGTGGGACACTTAGTCACTATGTCTCTGAGGAAGCGCTCCATTGCTTCATAATTGTGATAAGAAAATTGTGGTTTTGCATGCAAATTAAACATAACAGAGGCTCTAGAATTCTCATGTATTGTAACCTCTTTAGTTATGCTTGCATAGCCTGGAGCAGTTGCTGTGATTTTGTACTTTCCTTGAGGCAAGAGTTGGTGGAAGTACGAATCAGATTGCTTGAGAACAAAGGAAATGCCAGGACCTTTAACAGCAACTGTGGAGGTATTCACAGGTCTGTGGTCTAAGGTATGAACGACACCATCAACGGCTTGGTGCGACTTGGCCAAGAATGCGAGAAGTGGCTCACGGTTTGCCTCCCAAATGTTCTTTAGCTGTTCAGCTGGTGGGTACTTACAACAAGAAATAAAGAACGAGAGTTGTGGGATGTTGAGCATCAGGTATGCATAATCTTGCATGGTGTAATGAAGTTCTTTCCACTGTGCACCATTGATAATCCCATCAGCAAACCCAGAGGCAGATTCATTACAACCTTGACCGAGGTGCATTGTGGGATGTTTGTTGGAATAGGTTAAGGCAAGCTCTTTAAACAAAGAGTTATGTGATGTTAGAGAGCCTTTGACATCATCACGGCCACTCAAATGGACACTCATAGGATACCTAAGAGAAAAAAGTACTGGTTTTAAAATTACACAGCAGTCTTGAATTTTACTTTTCGGTTTCTCTCCTCCCCTCTTTTTTTGCTTTTCCTGCCTCATTTTTTTCTTTTGCTGGGCATTTGGTACGCTTCATTTCGGTGGGAAACGCTTTTAAGAAAGCCTTTAGGATCTTTGGATTAGATGAAAGGAAAGGTAGGTGGGGAGTGGAACAAGATTTTCATGGAAATTTTCAGGTCAATGTTACATGGTTTGTTGCCTTTTTCTGCGGTGTTCTTGACTGAATTGTGCTCATTCTGGTATGGTTTGAAGTATCTCTTCACCCTGCACAAGTTAGCAGACAAAATTGTCCTTGACTATTAAAACTCATGATGTCACAACCGGTAGAAGGGACATGGATCTGCATGGATCTGCACGAATGAGTTAATGAGAGTGAAAAACATTTAAAAAACAGCAAATCATCATCCATACCTTGCCACCAATTCACCTCCACTGAAATCAGCCAAGAGGGTGAAGTTGCTGCTTTTCATCCAAGTTTTCATGTGCTTGACCTCTTGAGGCTCATCAGCAGCTGTGTCAAGAAACTTAGTAAAAAGAAAGTTTATGGATTAATATTACAATGACTGAATCATTTATTAGCCACTGAAACATTCAAATTGTTAAACTAGACCCATGGCATGTCTGTTCATTTAGAATATGAGAGATTACATAGCAATGATGACTTATATGCCATCCCTATGCACTGTCAAGGGTTCCAATGGCATCTGAAGAAGGCAGCATTACATCGAAAAGGTTTAAAAGACTCTTTCATTCCCCCAATTTAGGGGGGATGTAGCTGATTTATCTGAGTGATGTGGTGCTGATCCTCTGTTGGCTGATAATGCTTATTAATAGCAGGGTGCAAAGAAAATCATTTTAACAGCTTGCCATTCGGGCAAGCTGAAGCTAACATTTAATAGCCCAGACATCATTTCCACTAGCCGCAAAAGCTTTTTGACGAGCAGAATTGATTTCACAGTTCTTCTGTTATTCGAATTGCTCAAACAGAACTCACTAGCCCGATAAAAAAATCCACTAGTCCCGGGCTATCGGACATTACTTTCTTTGCACGCTGGATAGAACTGCTCAGTATAGATCGTTTTCACTGTCACGCAACAAAACAATAAATTGGAAACTGTCCAGTGAAAGAAGCCAAGAAAATGATATGTTATAAAAGACTAATTTTTAAACAATTTGTCCAAGTTTCAGGTCTTTTTGGCCCACAGTTTCTGAGTTATTTGCCGAAACGTTTCACGCATCTTTGTAGAGCTTTGTATGGAGACGCCATATTGGTGCACAGTTTTGGTGCACCAATATGGCCGCCGAAAATCAACAAAAACATCTGGAGTTCACTTTTTCTATAAAAGCTCCTTCTTTTCACTCGAGAACTAGCCTACGTGCGCATAAATATATCTTCTAATACTTGAAATGGTTATACTGCTGAAAATCAAGAGGAGAGACTTTTTTTCAACGAGACAGCATTCCTATTTTGGTGTCACGCACTCTGAAAACTCGGAAGTTCAAATTGCTGTATTTTCGAAATGAAACATGCTACGGGACTGAAAACTTGTACAAAGATTAACTTTTTGTTTATCTTCNACCATTTGGTCATGGCCTTTGTTGGTTCCCTGCGTATATGGAAGGTATTGCCTCAAAGGAAAATTTCTAGGATACAATCATGGCCTAAAGCTTACAGAAGATGGGACACCAAGCTACCTGTGATCATGACACAGTATTGTTGCCCAGAAAATCTTTGTAATACTGTTAGCATAAATTTTATACAATTCCACATAATCTGACACCCCCTAGGAATCTCCTTATATAGTGAATGGCACATTCAATGAGAAATGTTCGTGGCTTTCTAGTCCACATTAATCATTTGGACAATGCTTTCCCAAGTTAAAAAGAACAATGTAACTAAGAAGCCTAACATCTAAGGCTTTCAGGCTATGAAAACTTTTAGCTTATTAAGTAAAAGTAGTAAAAGTGATCATATCACTGCTTACTTCTTTGATATTCTTTGGTAACAGGCTTTTATCACTGCTCGTCAAATTGAAGTAGAAGCTCCTGGATAAATCATCCATTGGTTTTAAGTGGCCTTCACAATCTCCTTCAGTTGCCTTTTCATTCCCATCCACGTCAACAGCTGGCACAATATGAAGCACTGTTGATTGAAGGAGTGTTTTAATCCGATCATCTTTCTGTTCATAATGACTACACAGGTATTCTACCAACTTAAGAAGTAACTCCTTGCCAGTTATATCTGTGCCTTCTAAGCTGCCAACAAGTCCAACATGCGGTTTTGTCTTTCTTAACTCTGGATTTTCTGTCACTTTCAAAGCATAAAGTGGCTTTCCTCCTTTACTGGTCCCAATTGTTGTCAACTTCATAATACTTGAGCACCTTTTGGCCTGCTCTTGCAAGAAGTCAGTCATTTGTTGGTGACTATGATGATAGAATTCCACCTTGGCATCTACTATAAAAAAAGTACAAACAAATAGTGAATTCATGTGCTGTGCAAAGTACAGAGTAAAGTTACAGTGAGCTCACACAAATATATATGTACATTCCTGGCCAAAATGGCAGTGATTTTGTTACCTCTGCGTCTTGTGTCCCTGACGCATAAAAATCCCAAAGAACACAAAATAATTCATGGAATGCGTCCCGTAGGACACAAAGATCAAGGAGATGTTTTTAAAGAATATCCTGTTTGTGTGCTTTCTGTGGCTGTTCTTGTGGCTGTTGTCTAATGACGCATATATCTTCTAGTCTTTGTTGTACTTGACGATAGAAGGAGTATATTTTCATTTCAGTAAACTGTAATAGAGAGTTGTGGAGTCTGCCTTTAACCCTTTCACCGCCAAATGTGGCCAAAGGCAAATTTCCACCAAAGTTCCAAATTTCATTTTCAAAAATTTTGAGAAACAAATGGCATCATGTGAAAGTACAGGCAGAGAGCTTTCATTTGAATGGTCACATCATAGGATTTTGTCCATAGTTAGAGTCACCTTACAAAACCCCCTCCAACACTCTGGCAGTTAAAGGGTTAAATTACCTGTGTGGTTACATAAAGCCCCAGGGACTCATGTTTTTCAGTAGGGACTCAATGGCTCTGGACTGGGACTCATGATTTTTTACAAGATGATTCCCAGGACTTACCATAACTATTTGTAACAAAATAACTGAAATAGTGTACTGAAAAATTTGCTTTTTCTTCCACAATAGGCTATAAATTAAGACATCATTTTACTACAACTACCCAGATTCATTCCTCTTTCCCTTCTTGTTTTCAGTTTAATCATCCCAGTGAGTTTCATTAACACAATGTACAGCTCTAATTTACAGAATTAAATAATTAAACGGGTAAGGATTTTAATAGTTCCAGTAAAATGATGCCCTAGAAAAGGCTGCATATGTTAAGCCTTAAGAGAACCTAATATTTAACATTCAATTCTCCCTTTGTTTCAAAAGAATATACAAGACAAACTAAAAAGAGAATTTCGAAGTTTAAGAAAGCCACTTATGGAGTCAGTTGTACACAGTATTACCGCATGGTTCTAGAAACCATCCTGTGTATCAACAGGATTTCAATAAGCATCAGAATACAGCTCAACTTACCTTCTGTTGAAACTTGAGGTGAAACATTAAATATAGTAGTTGGTTTTACTTCTGCAGTGTTAGATACAGAAGGATAAGACACTGGTGACTGGGAGTTCTTCTGGCTAACTCCCTGAGATGGTTTGTCAACTGGAAACACACTTTGGCTTGTTGTTGATGTAAGTGGTGTTTGAACAGTGGATGGTTGTGGCTGCTCAACTTGTTTGAGTACAAAATTTAACTCTGTAGCAAGACCAGCAGATACCTCCACATTTTGAGTGACAGGAACGTATCCAGGCGAGGAAACAGTGATAGAATATTTTCCAGGAACAACAAGTCTCCAATAATCTCCATCTCTTGCTGAAACAATGTCATGGTTGATTCCTGAAACAGCAATGGTTGCCTGACTTAATCCAACTCCAGCTTCATTTCTTATGAATCCCTTGATACCAATATGAACTTGAGACATGAATGTTAGAAGAGAAACTTTGTGGGCATCCCAGTATGACTTAAGCGTGGACTGAACAGGAAATTTAATACAACTCATTTCTATGGTAAGTTCAAAGCAGTTAGAATGAAGATAATTGTNGGCTGCTCAACTTGTTTGAGTACAAAATTTAACTCTGTAGCAAGACCAGCAGATACCTCCACATTTTGAGTGACAGGAACGTATCCAGGCGAGGAAACAGTGATAGAATATTTTCCAGGAACAACAAGTCTCCAATAATCTCCATCTCTTGCTGAAACAATGTCATGGTTGATTCCTGAAACAGCAATGGTTGCCTGACTTAATCCAACTCCAGCTTCATTTCTTATGAATCCCTTGATACCAATATGAACTTGAGACATGAATGTTAGAAGAGAAACTTTGTGGGCATCCCAGTATGACTTAAGCGTGGACTGAACAGGAAATTTAATACAACTCATTTCTATGGTAAGTTCAAAGCAGTTAGAATGAAGATAATTGTAATCTTGCATGCCACCTTTAACAACATACCAATCAGCACCGTTAGTGATACCATCTTTGAAATATTCATCAGGATAAGCAGAACAAGGGCGGCCTCCTCCCATAGTTGGATGTGCTTTGGAATAGGTGAGTGCTAACTGGCGGAAGACATCATCATCCGGGCTGCGACTATATGCTTCCCTCCCAGAAGGAGTGTCATCAAATGGGTAGTTTGCAACAATCGATCCCCCGTGAAGGTTAGCCGACAACACAAATGGAAAATCTTGGATCCATTTCATAACAGCCACAGTCTCTGGCTGATGATTGGGGTTCAGATTTGGGAAATACTGATCTGGGAAATTTCTATTCAAATCAACATTTCTGGCATTCTCACGACCAGGGCCCGAGGATTGCCCTTCAGTAGCCCTTTCATATCCATCCGGGTTCATTGAAGGCATAATATGAATACGAGTGTAATCAATAAGTGCTGTTATTGCAGGAACTTTCTGATAATTCTCGCAAAGGGATTGAATTAGAAGCAAAAGAGTTTCTCTTCCTATAACCTCATCGCCATGCATGTTGCCTACATATTTAAACTCAGGTTCCCCTGGCTCATGAATTCCTGGATTGTCAGTAATTTCTATTACCCACAGTTCTCTGTCCTGAACTGACTTTCCTACAGAGTATAGTCTGGTGATGTTTGGGTACAACTTTGCCATAGCCTGAAGAAATATTGTCATGTCATTATAATTATGATGTCTAAATATTCTTGGTTTCTCCCAGCCTTCAACAATTTTTGAAAAGGCATTGGATGTAGTTGGAATGCTTGTAAAAGGGACTTGAATACTTTCAAGTGGCTGAAGTACTTGAAGGTTAGAGCTTAAGTCTCGTTTGGTTAATCGTCTCAGGCTAGAAAGCCATGGAATATCTCTTGTATAAACGTTCCTGTATAAGTCACTGCTCCTTTGATTGCTATCTCCCCTCAGCACAAACTCTAAATTTGTTGCATCCCTAGAGGTTACAATTACATTACTTAGAGTTTTACTTTGATAGCCTGAAGCAAAAGCACTGACTGTGTAAGTTCCAGGCAACAAAATTCTCCAGAAGTCACCATGTACTGCCGTTGCTACATTATGATCAATTCCATGAACGTTAATTACTGCATTCCTTATGCCCATTCCATCTGTGTTTCTTACAAATCCCTTAATACCTTTATGCACTTGCTCTAAATATGCAATTAAGGCTTGCTTGTTATTCCTCCACTCGCTCTGCAAATAAGAGTGGTGTGGGTACTTGCAGCATGAAAGTTCAAGGGTAATTTCAAAGCAGTTGCTTATAAGGTAATTAACATCCTGCATACCACCAGCAACATCATACCAGAATGCGCCATTGGTTATGCCTCCTTCAAAATCCTGGTCACACTCCTTACTGGTGCTCATTGTCCTGTGATTGGTAGCATATGTCTTTGCTAAATATCTAAAAATTTCATCATCTGGTGATCTACTATAAAATCCAGTTCTTCGATGTTCCCTATTGCTGTCAAAAGGATAACTTGCCACCAGGGCCCCTCCGTGTAAATTTGCCGACAGGACGAAAGGATTGTTATAAATCCACGTAAGCATTGCTTTAGTTTCCGGTTGCGCTGAAGCCATGTCGTAGTTTTTCCACTTATTAAACTGATCAGGAAAATCGCGATTGAGATCGACATTATTATGGTTACCCCGACCTTTTATTCCCATGCAATCACCTTCTCTTGCACGTTGAAACCCATCGGGGTTCATTGAAGGCATGATGAAGATATTAGTCGTGTTAACAAGTTTAGTGACACGCTCGTCTCGGCCGTAATTCTCGAGTAAATAAGCGATAAAATAGATTAAGACTTGCCTTCCAACGGCCTCATTTCCGTGCATATTTGCAACATATTTGAACATAGGTTCTCCAGGTTCTTTGACGAGAGGTTGATCAGTGATCTGTAAGGCATATAATTTTCGCCTTAACGCTGATCGTCCAATGACATGAAGCCTAGCAATGTCTTTGTGTCGATACACGAACGAACGAAGCAAACAGGCGAGCTTGCGGTTACTTGTATAGCCTTTAGATACTAAAGACGACAGTCGAACATCACAATGCCTCTTAGACTGTATCCCTGCGATAAAAACGAAAATTATTACAGCCAAAATGCAATTCACCGCCGCCATGTTTTTCATACTCGTATTGTTTGCTTTCATTGACACGTGACAGGGACAAATCACGCCGCCACTACAACCCGTGCTGAGGTGCAGCCGCGTCTAAAACTTCCTAAATCCGTGCGAAAATTCACTGCAGAAGTTCGCTTCGCGCTGTACCGGATCTCAGTTCTCAGGTTAAAAATTCAAGAGTTAGGATATTTATTGATAATTCAGCGTCAAATAGTTCCATGGTAAATACAGCTGGTCGAGTTTGGCATGTATCACTAATGAGTCTCTCAAGAACCAAACACAGCTGTGTTTTAAAAATAATTATGGGTCAATTATGTTCTGCAGAGCGCAGAGTGATTTATTCGTTGGTATTTTGCTCTTATTCAAGCTCTAATCGATACCCTTCTATGGGTTTGCTACGCCAAAAGTGACAAAATATCAAGGGTGCAACTTTATAATTCAAATCCACCAATTCACTATCAAGATCGATATTTGCTTTTTGAATGTGTCAAGATTGTAGATAGAATTTAATTTCAATATTCCCACGTGTTTCATGTCATGTATCAAGACAGGGGCGTAGCCAGGATTTTTCAAAGGGGGGGTCACAGCAGGGACACCATCCGGGGATCGCCGACTATATATGGTTTATACCGCTGCTCTCCCTCGTGTATCAGCGGGCTCAGTCGTATTATCGCGACATGAAGGCTCATATTAACTAAAGACAAGAGCCGTTGATGAAAATACTTTACAATAAAACAAATTTTAAAAAAGTGCTCTTTTCAACANGGTGGCGAGGGTGGCGAGGGTGGCGAGGGTGGCGGCGGTGGCGAGGGTGGCGGCGGTAGCGGCGGTGGCGAGGGTGGTGAGGGTGGCGAGGGTGGCGAGGGTGGCGAGGGTGGCGAGGGTGGCGAGGGTGAATGAAAAAAAAAACCTGAATGCCTTTCTTAAATTGATCTCTCTACCATCCCGGATATAATATCTAATATCTAAATACAACATCTCTTTGAGGGAAATCGATGACGCGGTTGCACCAATTCAATCTCGATAGCTTAAATATCGTCCATATGCCCCTTGGTACAGCGACGACCTTGGACAGGTTAAACGTGAAAAGCGAAGATTGCAACGGAAATGCAGGAAGTCGGGTCTCACAGTACATAAGCAACTGTTTGAGGATAAATGCCTTGAAATGTAGCAACCGTCACGAACTTTAAGATCAGCGTCACGTTCGCTACGCTGTCCTCAAAAAGCTAAAACTGAAACTTCGGGTGTAGAGCTTTTTCTTTTGTGGCACCGAAATTGTGGAACTCCCTATCGGAGGACATTAACAATGCCAAGACTGTAATCTGTTTTACAAAGCAAGTTGCAAACTCATCTTTTTAGGAAACATTTTTTACTTTACAACCCTAAACAATATATACTGGCGGCTACGTCTCGTTTAAAGCTCGGAGATTGCGCTCTTATTTTCTCTGCTCCTAATATGAGAAATAATTTTATAAGACTTATGTTAGCAAGTTTACTTTTCAAAGGTGCGCATTTTCTGTTCCTTAGGCCCTGTTCAGACGCCAAACTTTTCATGAGCCGAACCTATTCACAATAAACAGGCGTTACTAATTGATTCCCTCGCCGAACTTTTCATGTACTTAGTTCAATGTATTAGGTTCGGTTCATGAAAACTTCGGCGTCTGAACCGGGCCTTACTATACTTTATTACGATAACCAATGCTGGTATCCTGATTTTGGCCTGTTTGAAAAGCTTACTTTGACAAGGTCCATCTCCATCTATTACAACTACAAAAACGATGTGCAAGATTCATTTTGGACGCAACCATGAATGATAGCTCCGTTGAATTGTTTAATCATGCAGTTAGGTTTGCTGCCGCCTATAGATGACATTATACGCGCTATCATGAACTCTTTCTGCTATATAAAGTCAGCCAGGCTCACTGTCATGAATATTTTACTTCATATTTTAAACATGCGCGGTCTACACATGGTTATCTACCTCCATTTACATTTTTTGAGAATGGCAGATGTCAATGTCACTACTTAGAAAGAAACAAATAATATGAAGAACATTGTAAATCCGCAATTTCAAGGAGTTATAATAACTCCTCTAGTGGGGTTAATCGTTACAGTGGAGTTAATTTTCTGGGGAGTTATTTTAACCCCAAAAAGTAGTTTAAAGAACTCTTTTTCAGGAATAACCCCAGATATTGAGGAGTTAAATAACCCCATTTTCGGAGTTATTTTAACTCCAGACTGGGAGTAAAAAGATCTCTTTTTCCGGAGTAAAAATGACCCCAAATTTGGAGTTAAATTAGGAGTGGAAGTAGCCCCATAAACGGGGTTATCCTGTACCTAAAATTTCTACTCCACTTTTGGAGTTACAATAACTCCAAAAAAAGTACGGTAAGTATAATTCGGAAGTTTGGATGCTGATCATAATAATCTTTCAGTACTGTACCAAACTCAAACTCCGTTGGGTGGTTCTTAGCAAACACATCAGCGACTTCTTTCAGAACATTAGAGCCATTTATACGAGGAAAAATAAGACGCGTCTTACAGAAGACGCGAACTGTACTATTTATACGAGCATGTCTTATCTAATAAGACGCGACTTAGCTAAGCCGCGTCTTATTTTAGACGAAATGTGCCGTTTATGCGGGAAGAGACGCGTCTTATTTTTCCTCGCATAAATGGCCCTATTGTCTATTTAGATAATAGATGCGCATAAGGGGAAGTCAACAGGGTCTCTCTTGTATCGCAAATATTACTTTGTGGCCACGGGGAACAACAGATATTTTAAACTGCCCCCAAAGACAAAAAGGCCAACACAAAAATGGAACAATTCATTCATCATCTCCTTCAAGCACAAGTGGATCCCAGATCCACCGTTTGCAACTCGCTGCTTAACAAAGAAGTGGAAAGTGGCAGTGATAAATGACACAGCCTCATAAATGGGAAAGGTAAACATTAAGCAAGTGAGAACGGTTGTACCGCTCTCGCCTCAAAAGTACAAAACTATGTTTACATTTACATTTACATGTATTAGGTCGGTAAAAACCGTTAGCTTATCACACCAAAAGTTAAAATAAAAAGAAACAAATATATAAATGAATAAAAATAAGTAACTGAATAAACTACAGATATATCGATATATCAATATATAAACTAATGATATTAAAGTTAAATAAAGAAAACTATATAAACTATATATAACTAATATTTAAGAAAAGCTGTTAACAGCTGTTATAAAGTTGCTGAGGAGGAAGATGAAACAATGGCCTCTGGGAGGCATTTCCAGTCCGCTATAGTTTTTGGAAAAAACGAAAAGTTAAAAACTTCTTATTTGCATTTGGCACGCGAAATTTAAATTGATGGTTTCCTCTCGTGCGACACTGGGAGTGTTGAATTAAATATTTTCGGGTATCTATATCCATAAGACCATGAGTTAGCTTGTACATAAGTGTTAATCTAGACTTCCGTCTTCTAGTTTCCAGCGTGGCCCACCCTAAGTCTTTAATCATGTAATAATGTTGCTCTCTACAGACTGTCAGGGGAAAAGGAGGAATGATATCATTGATGCAGCACCAGGCGTAAGACTTGCATAACACTAATTTACATGAAAAGGCTTGGACATGACAAAGTGATGCAAGCAACAATCTTGTTTGACCGAGTGACAGTGGAACTTTTTACAAAGAGCTACAATATCGTACAAGTACAACGCTAAAGAGCTGGGATCAGCATGTCAAATCTTCTATTCGCTATTGAAATAACAATTCAGAACACTATGAAAACAATTGAGCCGCTTTTAAGTATATAAATAAAATCACCTTGTTTTAGAACGTTAATCAATAAAGAAGTGAACGTGTGTAGCTTGTCGGGGTAGGGATGCGAGCACACCCCGCTGGCCTGTCTTGATCCGAGTAGTAGGTTGTTTACAAAACAACAATTGGAACTCAAAGTCAACGTCAAATCAATTTCTGGTCATCCATCATAAAAAAATAATGATAAGGGGGATGGCATGGCGATATCGTTACAAAAAATCCGGTATATTTAACAAATATTTCTCCTAGCCCGAATGGACTCTGAGTAGACAGCGCGTGAGGCCGCGGGCCAAATGGTCTACTGACTCAGAGGCCATGAGGGCGAGAGGAATAATTGTTTTAGTAAAATCCAACTATTTGGTCAAAAATATCGAGACAAAACAACTTTATCTAGTTACAGCGAGACTTTCAGCCTTCTTTGCGGCCAAAAAGCCGGTGCTTTGCGCTACGTCGGCTATAACATATAACCTAGTAGTACCTCAACCAATCAGAGCGCAGCATTGATAATAGACCACTAGTTAGACGTGTACAACCCTAAAAGAGACCTTTACGGCTAAATGTTATGACGTTTTGCCCAGAACACCCCAAGTGAGAAAAAGATCCCAAATTTAGACCCCTAAGAGAGACGAAGAGCATCCCCGCCTCTTTCATATAAGAGTCCCCTCCCCAGGGGCTTTAACGTACCTAAGCAGTACTATCTGGAATATACAGGAGTGTAAAAACTACAAACGGGGATATTTTGAGAAGAAGAAACACGTGCAACCACAGCTTCGTGCCCTGTTGCGACAACGATGCGACAACGTGCAAGGTCTGGAAGCGACAACGTGGAAGACAGTTTTCAAGGGGGAAAAGTTGAATATGAACTCGTATAATTCAAAGAAAGTAATATTTACATCTTGGTGATTCGCGCGGCCCTTTCCCTCTCCCCCCCCCCCCCCCCCCCCCCCCCCCCCCC